ATATATATATATATATATATGTATGTATAATACAATATATATATTATTAATATATTGTATTAATATTGTATATTATTTGTACTTTCTGATGATTGATTGCTTTTATTTTCTATTTACAATCTTGGGCAATTAGGTTTATATCGTATTAAAAATAAGATTAATATTGTGACATTAACATTGAATCCCCTAAGTAATAAGGAACTTTTTTGATAGAAAAGTTGATATTTCAGGAGAGAATCCTAAACTAAAATATCACATACTATATTTTGCAGAGATAGAATTCATATTCTTGGAAAATTTGATATTTGTGTAAGTGATCATTCATTTAGAGTATAGCAAAAAGTCTGTTATGTTGTGAGGTAGGCATGTGGGAGAAGGACTATTATAGTTAACTCCTGGGAAAGAAAATACAGATTGCACAGTGGTACATTGCTCTCTCTGGGCTCATTGTCAGTGAAAGCCAGAATATCTAGTAGTGGGATGGCTAGTAGATTTTGTTTCCACTGCAACCATTGTCCGTAAGGACCATGCTTTCTTTTCCCTCATATATGTGAATGCATGTGTTGTTTACATGCATTTCTTAGAAATGTTCTTTGAGGAGCTTCTGCAACAATAAAAAAAGATCCAAATTAAGACTATAAAAACAGTATATAAAATATCTTTACATGAAGGTAAACCTGATCTTAATGCTCACAGCTTCTGGGTTATCACAGAATTAATTATAGGAGGCAACATGTAAGTACATTTGTGCATGCACCTGGTTGGACTGAATATAATGAAGAGGGATATAGGAGTCAAATTTGATTCAACTTTAAATAGGATCTCATACTTCTCTGTGTATTTTGTTCATGACTTGTTCTAATGTAGAGTCAAACTGCATGTCATGTTTGAGCTGTAATACAACTTAAGGGAGAACAAACCTGCTGAATTTTGGCTGGCTCCAAGAGCAACAAGCCAGGGTCCCTAATCTGCACAGCATGGTAAATGTACTGTGGACAGAACTGTCCATAGTTTATGACCAATGCTCACTTGTGAGAGTATCCTCTGGTACAATAGAGCCAGTTTGGTCTAGTGGTGAAGGCATCAGGTTAGAAAGCAGGAGACAGTGAGTTCTAGTCCCGGCTGGGGGACTTTGGGCCAGTCACTCCCTCTCAGCCCAACTCACCTCACAGGGTGGTGATTGTGGGGAAAAGAGGAGGAGGAAGGAGTATTAGGTATGTTTGCTGCCTTGAGTTATTTATACAAATAAGAAAGGGGGAACAAAAAAAATCTAAATCTAATATCTAATTAAGTGTGTCCTAATATGCTGCTTGACCGCTGTTAAGGTATGATAAGACTTAGTATATCTTGCAGACTGACTGGCTGCATGGAATAATTTGTATGCATGATGCATACATATATTTGTGCTATCTTCTTATAGATAGATTTTATTTATTTATTTTTATTTATTTTTCAAATTT